TACCTGTCAATCATCAGTACTGTGACACAGGATCTGTCAATCATCAGTGATGTGACACAGTACCTGTCACTCATCAGGTCTGTGACACAGGACATGTCAATCATCGGTATTGTGACATAGGTCCTGTCAATCACTGTAAATCATCTGTGCTGTGACACAGGACCTGTCAATCATTGATGCTGAGACACAGGACCTGTCAATCATCAGTGCTCTGACACAGGACCTGTCAATCATCAGTGCTGCGACACAGGACCTGTCAATCATCTTGTCTGTGACACAGGACCTGTCAATCATCAGGTCTTCGACACAGGATTTTTCTGACATTAAAATCAAAAAGCTGTAACATTTTCAAAAGAGGAACTCTCAGTTTGGACGGTTTCGGTCAGAACCAAACATGTTTAGATGGTTCCTGCAGAAGTTCTTTCTGTACTTCTGTAAAACGTCCACCCAAACAAAAAGGACCGCATTTGGTTTCTGTTTCACCAACGACTGGTTCTGTTTGAGGAACTTGATCCTTGTTGACAGATAAGAATCTAACCTGCAGCTTTATCAAATGGACCTCATCATAACCAGGTCGGCTGTGGATCTGTAGCAAACTAGAGACGAGTTCAGTCTAATACAGCAACCACGGGTTCTGTTGGTTTCTGTGGTCACACTGATTGAGCCAGTCCTGTCTGGATCTTCTTTTACAGTAATTATTCAACGAGTTCTGTCTTTCTGTGTTTGGATCCAGCTGACCTGGTTGTCCAGAACTTACATTCTGAAATAATGAAGGATCAAAACTCCAAAGACGAGGTGGCAAAGATTCTGGAGGAGGCTCCGAACGCCCGAAAAGCTCTGCAGGAAAACTACGACAACCTGATGAATGTGGCCGAATACTGCTACAACAACTACTCACAGGTCAGGAACCACAACTACACACAGTGACAACAACTACACACAGGTCAGGAACAACATCTATACACAGGTTAGTCACAACTATTCACAGGTTAGGAAGGCTAATGCGTCATTGTTTTTCCAGTCTTTATGCTAAGCTAGGCTAGCATGTCATTGTTTTTGCAGTCTTTATGCTAAGCTAGGCTAACACGTCTTTGTTTT